AGTGATCATTACAATAAAAATGAAAAACATAAGGTAATAAATGAATAATTTATTTATTTAACTTTATCAAGTAACTATATTTTGAAAAAAATGCTTAAGGAAACCGGTGGTCCAGATTCAGTTCTGTTACCATCTATAGTTGTGTGTCCGCCTACATTGATTGGGCATTGGACTCATGAAGTACAAAAATTTATTCCGAAAAACATACTGAGACCTTTACAATATTCTGGACTACCTGTAGAAAGACAAAAGTAAATAATTATTTTTATTTGTATGTTATTATTGCACAATGGTATAAATTAAATGTATTATTTACTGAATACAGTATCCAAGTCTTAATAAATTGAAAAATATTTTTTTCAGATTGAGAGTTTATGCCGATGACTATAATTTATTTATAGTATCTTATGATATTGTTCGTAAAGATATTGAATTTTTTTCAAAAATTCAATTCAATTATTGCATATTAGATGAATGTCATATTATAAAAAATGGAAAGACTAAAGCAAGTCAAGCCATTAAACAATTAAAGGCAAACCATCGTTTAGTTTTATCTGGCACACCAATTCAAAATAGTGTCTTAGAATTATGGTCATTATTTGATTTTTTAATGCCAGGTTTTTTGGGTACAGAAAAACAGTTTGCTGCAAAGTATAGCAAACCCATTTTAGCGAGTCGTGATTCAAAATGTTCTTCAAAGGAACAAGAAACTGGTGAATAAAATTTTCAAATCTAAAATTATAAATGAAATCTTGTATATTATTTATATTAACATAATTAATTTCATAGGTGTTTTGGCTATGGAAGCTTTGCATCGTCAAGTTTTACCATTTGTTTTACGTAGAATGAAAGAAGACGTTTTAAGTGATTTACCAGCTAAAATTACTCAGGTAAATAAAAATTAATATAAAAAAAAATGAAGTTTTATATAATAAAATGTTATGTGTAGGATTACTATTGTGATTTGAGTCCTATTCAACAACAGCTTTATGAAGATTTTTCAAAAACACATGTACATAAACATTTATCGGAAACTGAAACTGATGAAAAATCCGTTAATAATTCTCCTAACAAAAATAATATTCTTCAAGTAAGTTATATTGTAGTAATCTTATATATTTATTTAAACAACAATTTAATATTATCTTTTTAACAGGCTTTACGTTATTTACAAAATGTATGCAATCATCCAAAATTAGTACTTACTCCACAACATCCTCAGTATTCTAATATAACTAAGCAAATTTCAGAATCTAATTCTAGTCTAACTGATATTCAACATGCTGCAAAATTACCAGCTTTAAAGTGAATAATTAGTTTTTTGGTTTATGTACTTTTATTCTATGAATTAAAGTTATTAATTATAATGATTTGTTTTAGACAACTTTTAATGGACTGTGGTATCGGGTTAGTGAGTAATAATGAAACTGTGATAAGTCAACACAGAGCTTTAATATTCTGTCAACTGAAGTCCATGTTAAATATTATTGAAAATGATCTCTTTAAGTAAGTTATTTATTTTGAACTCTATATTTTAATTGTAAAATTAATAAAATCAATTTTATGTTTTAGGGCCCATATGCCAAATGTAAGTTACCTTCGTCTTGATGGTAGTGTACCTGTGTCACAAAGATATGCACTTGTTAATCGTTTTAATGTTGATCCATCCATTGATACTCTTATAATGACCACTCAAGTTGGAGGATTGGGTCTAAATTTAACTGGAGCTGATACTGTATGTGTCGTATGATATACAACCTAATTTAAAATTACAACTAATGTACCTAATAAAATTATTGTTTACTGTAGGTAATTTTTGTAGAACATGATTGGAGTCCTATGAGAGATTTACAAGCAATGGATCGAGCACATCGTATTGGTCAGAAAAAGGTTGTCAATGTTTACCGTTTAATTACAAGATCAACACTAGAAGAAAAAATAATGAAGTATGTATTATGATAACTAAAACAATACAATTGAAACCATTGGCACATTATTTAATATTGATGTTGATCATTTTAGCTTTCAAAAGTTTAAGCTAAAGACTGCCAACACAGTAATATCTTCTGAAAATTCAAGTCTTAAAACAATGGGAACTGATAAAGTAATTGTCAACATATTGTTTGAAAATACCTAAATATATATTAATTGACCTTTGTGCTTCTCAGTTATTAGATTTATTCTCATTGGATGATCCATCAAAAGAAAAAAGTAGAACCAATTCTTCGGGCGGTTCCATGAAATCTGTTCTTGAAACTTTGCCAGAACTCTGGGATTCCAAAATTTATGATGATGAATATGATTTAAATAGTTTTATTCAGACTCTAAAAAATGATTGATCCAATAATGAATTTGATTATGTATTGTTATTTAACATTTTTTTTAAAATTATGATATTTTTAGTAATTTATACTTAGTGAAAACAAACCAAAAATTAGGCTTTTAGATTTATAAACATTGGATGTAACTTTAATCATTTAATACTTTAATAATTGCTTTTAGTATTTTGTACTCATTATGTAATTAATGGTTTTGTATTGAATCGATTTTGATTACAAAAAATCTTTGTGTACTGATGTAATAAAATCTATACTTTAATCCTAAATGATAGGCGGAGTATGCCTTATTTTATTTCATTAAAAAAATATATGGAAAATCTGAAAATAAAATTATAATGTAATTTAGCTTAAATAAGTTACCGAGTCTATCTGTCTAGACGTCTAGTCATATATTAACTTCTAGTTACACTCTTAATAAGAGTCTTATAGTCGTAAGTATTAGTTTGTTGTAAATATCTTATGCTTTATATCACATACCAATCTTTATCTTTATTTTTTTAATTCAATTTATTTGTTTTTATTTTATTTTAAATATTGTACTTCATTCTAATTAACCCGATTATGTCATAATATGCAAAATAAAAATACAATAAATTTGAAAACTCAAACTCATGTTAAATGAATATCAAACTAAATTATTGTGCCCAAGATTGTACATTTTATTCAATAACTCACGTGCTTATCAGGCACAGCGGTAAAAGGGGTGCAGGGAGGGCTTAGCCGCCTCTAAAAATGGTGCAGCCCACTAAGAAATGTAACTAAAAGTTACATGTTATTTTTATGAGTTAAATTATTATTTTTAAGATAAATAATGATAATGTTATTGTTATCTACAATTTCAAACAAATATAACATCTTTTTAAAAAAAGAATAAATATTTTAGGAATTAATTAATGTATTTACTAAATACTAAAAATTAATTATTACTGAATGGATATAAAATTTCAGTCGGTTAAATTCATCTGCTTAATACATTCAATCAATTTAATTTATATTTATAAAATAAAAGTAGTATAACCCATTCATAATCCGATACATCATCTAATGATCACAAAGTCAAAATTTCAAGCGCCCATCACTAACTGTTTTTTGCAGTGTTATATGTGATGAGTGCAATAATAAGAAGTACCGGTAATGATAATATTCCCATTATAATTATTCTTTAAACGGTTGGTAAGACTAATTGACTGTATACTGGAGTGAAATATTAATGGTTTTATCATAGAAAAATACTGCTTGGTGAGGCGTGGTCGTACACTCAATCTGCGGCAAAGCTTTAAGCGTATGTACCAGCTGTCGTAGCTAGCACTCGAATGAGTGACCATCCGAGTTTTTAGCAACACATCCTTGCCACACATACAAACGTTGTTCCAACCAACCGTCCTCCCCCCACCCAATCACAGTCTAATGACCTTAGTAATTGAAGCCTTAATCCAAAAAAAAAATACCAAGTGCATATGTGCGGTAAAAAGTATATTTATTTGATACATAAAAAAAATGTATAGGGAACATTGAGTTAAATTTTCAAGCTTTTTGATTGAGAAAAACAAATGTCTTAAATTTCTAGGATTAATGTTTTTTTTATTAAATCTACTACAAGAAATAATTTAAGAAAAATTGTAACCTATTTTACATTTGAATGAATACCTATTAAATTTCAGCATTTGCCTCAGATAGATGGTAGAGCTAAATTTAAGCTTGTAGTTTTTATAAAGAATGCAAAATTATTGGTTTGAACATATTTTCAAAGGATTTTTAAAAAAAAATGTTAAGTTATTGGTTAATATTTTCAATTCTATTTATAACAATTATCATTATAAATTATAATATAGTCCTAAATAGGTCCCTAGTTGAAATTGTTTTCACAATAGCAAGACAATTACAGTTATCGGCAACCTGTGTAATAATTATGTTAGACATTTTTTTCAAATACAGTGTGTTAGTAGAAAGATTTTGTTGTATTGAACATTGATTTTAAGTGAATTATTGTCAAATCAAGATTTAACTCTGTCAAGGCCAGTGTAAATCATCCTTTTAAGATTATTTACACCAGTTACTGTTAAAAAAATTGTAGTACCACAAAAAAAATTATCCACGCACATTTTGATTTAGAAGTCCATTTAAGAAAAGTAAATATAGTTATAGTAAATTAGTAAATAGTATACTTGCAATGAGCTAAAATGTAAATAAGAAAATATTAAACACTACAGTAATGTAGCTAATTTGCCTATACAATACGCCGGACAACATGTTATGTTTGCGCTAAGTATCTAAAACAATTTATAATTATATATTCACGTCCACATCAGTATTGACGACGATTTGTAACGTTATTCTATAACCTATTTATTAATATAATAACAAACTTCAATATGATTTGGTTGGTTGTTATCAAAATCTTACATTATAATTTCCGACAAACGACAAACCCTAATGTTAGCTGTGAAAAGAAAATGTTTTTAATTTCTAATTGAAAAATAATTTCAAACGTTTCTATTGGCTATAAATAGTTCAAAATAATTGGGCCACTATGGATGAAAGATGCCAATATAAATATTTGGCGAAAACTTCAAGCGTCTATACGGTTATTGGTTTTAGAGTTACACCCACACTGAACTTTTTTCCGAAAATCACGGTTTACTTGGCCAGCTTGTCCAACGTAATCCCCACCTCTAACTCATTTCATTTCAGGGAACAAGACGTCAAGACATTATTACGCATGCTTCTCCTCAATGCAGGTTCATATAATCATTGTCCGATGAATCCGGTATTCCATTTGCCATTGATAAAAGACAAATAAGACGACTGTCAACTTTGAAATTCTGAACTCGCAATTCCATATATATTTAAGTATTAAAATTATAGTGCTACTAGTGGATATTATCTTATCAAGCAATTGTGTTAGGTATGGCCCTTATCATATAATAACATGCTCATTGTGCTTTAGTCTGTGCATACTATTGTGAAATTTAAAAAGAAAAAAAAATTAAAATCACTGTGAATCACATCAGTTAAACATGCACCGGAGGTGTTGTTTTTTTTGCCAGGCCACATCAGCCAAAGTGCCAGGCCTAACATTACACAAGTTAGTTACCTATTGAAATTCGAAATGTAAATAATAACTTGAAATAATATATCAGATTACACGGATCAGGGTGGTCCAACCTTTCGTAGTTGGCTGGAGAATTTACACTTTTATAAAAACACCGGGGCCGCCAAAATAGAAAAATGGTATTATTGTTTTTTATTTTATGTAAAGATATACAAAATGATTGTGAATAGTATTCAGGTCAGGAAAACTCGCAGTCATTATTATTAGGCAGCGAAAAGACCGACTTCCGATATTGTATAGTGACATTTTTAATATCAGTATTCTGGGAGGGAGGGTTGGCAAAAAAAAAGATTAGCTAATTATCGAGGGCCGCTGGTCGGACCGCCCTGAGCATACACAATGTATAATAAGTACCTATAAAATCCATATATAACAACACAATGATGTTTAAAACTCAACATTTAATTTTTAGTTTCCCAAATGACTTAACACTCCGCAAAATTTGGCTAGAAGGTTGTGGATATGCTCATGAAAAATTTTTTCCGCATAGTAAACTATGCTCACTACATTTTGATGAAAGTTCTTACAAAATCACTAAGTCAAGAAGATTATTAAAAGACAATGCCATTCCAACAAAATTTGAAAAAAATTCAAATTTTGATTTTGGTGTGAAACCTAATAAGTATGAATTCACAGACATTTGTATTGTTTTTATTTCTACAATCATAATTTTTCTTGTAACAGATTACTAGTAGTAAATGATGAAGAGATTACTAATCATATAGTATCTGCTAAAAAACGTAAGTATCATTTATAATACTTCTAAATAAAAGATTAATTCATATAAAATTATTTTATTTTAGCAGTTGAATGTGAAAAGTCTAGTTCAGAGATGAAAAATGATGTATCTACCCAGAGTAAGAATAATATTCAAATTTCATTAATGAAAGATTAGTATAAAATTATTTTATTTTAGTAGTTGAATGTGAAAAGTCTGATTCAGAGATGAAAATGAATGTGTCTACCCAGAGTAAGAATAATATTCAAATTGTATGAATAAAAGATTAGTATAAAATTATTTTATTTTAGCAGTTGAGTGTGAAAAATCTGGTTCAGAGATGAAAATTCAGAAATTGTCAAATACTGAACTTATTCAGAACATTCTAGGTATACTAATTGATTATTTGTATTACCTTTATTGTTATGGGAACAAGGTTTCTATGATATTATATTTTATACTGATTTAAAATTTTTTATTTAAGAACTACCAAAATCCAAAATGAGCCATCGTCTTGATGGTGACATAGCAACTCCTGTTCTAAGTACACCTAAACGTACAAAAAAAAAAAACTATGCTGTAATAAAACTTAAAATCTTGAAACAAAGAAGAAAAATTAGAACATTACAACAAAGAGTGAATCGACTTAAAAAAAAAAATTCAAGCTTATCTTCTTTATATTATCATCTGAAAAAAACAAAATTTGATCAGTGAAGCAGTTCATGATACAATTTTGGTAACTAATTGTTTTTATAATAATGTTGGATATTTGTGGATTTTCATGTATTAAAATAAGATAAAATATGTAAAACTATTTATGTCATATAAATTTGATAATAGTGATTCTTTTTACAGTCAACATTCACTATCTCAAACACTATAAAGGGTTCTAAAAATCCAATTATATTTTTTACCATCATAATTTTTTAAGTTTTTACTTTGTTGAATAACCACATCAATTTTTAACACTTTTCTTAAGTTTGTTAATTTTATGTTCCAAAAATCAGAACGATAAAAAATGATAAAAAACATAACTGTTTAAAATAATCACCCCGTTTGTTAATAAAAATTTCAAATTATTATTTAAGTAGATATGTAGTTATTTTATGTACCCATACTTGATACTTGTATTACTAAGACACTAAATGTATTATTCAATAGTACGGTCTAAGATTGTATTTAAGGTGTATTGTTTATATTGGACTTCATATACTGTGGTGAAATGATAAGTAAGCATTGGTTAATAAAAACTGGAAAATTTATAAATTCGTTAATATTTTATATATTATGATAAACATCTATATTTTTGTTTAAGTTTCAAATCCTTATTATTCATTCGAAATCTCAGTTAAATCAACCGAGTTTGATAGTGTTCAACCTGACATAAGCCTGTTGCGACTGTTGCAAGGTTTTTTAAATGTGAGTGCGTTGAAAAAAATCCACATGATCCACAAATTGTAGACATTTAAGATACATAATATAATTATTAACACAACAAATAATAAACTTAATATACTAACATAAATTATTTTTAAGGCTCAAGATAATGTTGGGATGGTGATGATGTATTCTATTTAAGTATTGGCCGCACAAGGATAGATGAATAAAAAAGAAAATTGGCCAATGCTGATCCTTCTTTTCTATTTTAAGTTCTCACATTGTATTATATTGCTTATTAAGTCCTCCTAAACTATGTTAGTCTTATGTTTATGATATTTTCTATTAAATTATGTAATCACAAACTACCATATAAATGTAAAATGGATACTTCCTGTAAAATAAATAAATATATTTGGCATCAGGGTGAGGCAAGTCAAAAAGTACATGTGTAATACATATTAAACATTTATTTATAGGCTAATATTGTTCCATACATAAGTTTATTAGTGCACTCATTGTATTATTGTTATCATACTCTATTTGAACAAATTCTTATTTGTAAATATTAATAGTCACCTTTTGTTATGTCTAAGTATTTACTGTAAATAATTAATTATAAGCATGTGTTGTAAAAATTGGCCCAGCCCGTATAATAAATAAATAGATAAATAAAAGACACCAAAAAGAAATGTAATCTGAATTAGTAAGTATTGATTGTATTATGTCAGCGTTTCCCAAATAGTGGGTCGCAACCCACTTCCGGGCCGTCAAAATTTAATACTGGGTCCCAGAATTTAATGAAATTCTCATATTAAATTTGTTATTTATCATTTTCTTTTGATAATTTAAACTATTAAGTATGAAGAAGAAGTCAAATAGACGGGAGAGATGATTCAAATGTGTTTTATTTTGCGTTTTATTACATAATGATAAATGTAAAATATTTTGGTGGGTCACGATTTCACGAAGGTGAAAAATATAAATTACCGGGCCAGCCCAAACAAGAGTTTAGGAAACGCTCAAACGCTGTATTATGTAATAATGTATAACACTATACTCTACAATTACTTCTACCAACTTGAAAAGCATCTGTGGTAAATGCATAATTTTTCCTTTAGAAACATTTAGAAGACACTAAAGTTACAGTTCAATCATTTTTAGGGTAGAAGTTCAACATTAGAACATGTATGAGTTATAAAATAAAACCAAAATGAAGAGGGAAAAAGTAAGAAACTTACTGGACATGAATTATTTATGACTGATAAATCAGATGATTCAGTCTTAGAAGAAGGTTGGTTTATCTTTAAAACTTAAAAGTATACCAAAGTTCTGGTAAACTTAAGGTTAACACTAAAAATATGTTTGTAATATTAATAAAAAATTTTTAAACCATTGTGTTTTATCATTGAAAAAAGTAAAAACAAATATTGATGCCCATAAATAAACCACTACACTTATACTCTGTCTCAAAATAAAATAATTATTCATCAACTTTCACCAAATTTTCTAAAGAAAAAAAAATATGCAAGGCATTTTAATTTTAGGTATAAAACTGATTCAAATTATTCTTGTTTTAATCACATATGAATTACCTATAATGGATACCAAAAATATTATTACATTTGTTCACATCGCCCTTACAGTTTTAAGAAATTAAAAAAACTGTATCTCTCCTCTGTCTCAAAAGAGAATAATCACTTTTGAGTAGATGTGACACTATTATATAATGTGAAGTTGAAAACCGAAGTAATTTAATGCGCAAAAGACTGGACAAAAATGATGACTGACACAAAAAAAAATTTGAAACACATCTAAGCGGGTCTCCAAGGAGGAGCGAAGAGGCATTCGCCTCTCCCCCACCCCCTCATAACAGTTTTCAATGCATACAATTACTCTCATTGACAACAAAATAATAATGATCAAAATTTGAATTTAAAGGTCCGCACCTCCCCCCCCTTGAAAACTGTCTAGGGACGCCCTGGCACAAATCATTACAAAATGAATACATTCATCACTCCGCTCAGAGTCAAACATAAGTTTCATATAGTCAGTGCCAATACCAAGCATTATATAATAATTTTTATAAGGTCCAAGTCCCATGATATTAATACTAAGATCTTTATAATATGTCTATGACATTTCCACGATTCGGGATATAAATATAATATGATCCGACCAAGTATCTATTAATTCTGAATCGAATAGGTACCTACTTCGGCATGATTCTAGTTTAGCAACCCATTGATTTTGAAATTTTTATTTCCATATTGTGTGTGTTTGGGTGTTTTACTGTTTTAAGAATGTAAAATAAAAAAGCCGGACAAATTTTGTTATGAAGTTATTGATAAAAACTTTAAAAAGTACCTACATTTATTTCGTAACGCGCATTTTTTAAAAATAAAATGCTTAGAATGTGACTGCAGCCAGCAGGCAATCAATTTTAATGTTACTTTAAGACTTAAGTGGTTAAAATACGTAGATAAAAAAATCAAAATTCTTAATGGGCGCTGCGTTTGGCAGAACAGTGTTGTGCGCAGGTGTTTAAATGTATAAAACTTCAAAAGTAAATTTTGATTTTACCAATTTATTGATAGTTAAATACCACACATTTTGAAAAAAACAAATTAAAAATATTCAATTCTAAGTATTTTTTGTAATGCTCGTTACAAAAAATGTACGCTTTGAAGTTTTTTTATCAATAATTTCAAAACTAAATTTATCCGTCTTTTTATTTACATTCTTATAAAACACCCTAAAACACACATTTTTAAAATATTAAAATTCAAAAGTCGATAGGTTGCTAAACTAGAATCGTTCCCTCATTCCTTCTCCACTTATTTGGCGGTTTATGTATAGGCAGACCCCTTCACAGTGCCGAGTACCGCGGAAAAAAAGATAAATTATTATTAATATTAAATGACCGAGTACCAAACACAGACGCCCGGGTTATAATAATATTATTTTACTACACAATAATAATCCAGCAAGTTCAGTAAAAAAATAAAGCCGCGGCCCGCTGTTAGTGTCTCAATCCGGAAGCAGGAGTTGCTCATTTAAACAGAGTAAATGTCGTTTTTTTTTTAAAACTAATTATCTACAGAATCAATTGATACCTAATAAATTGGAAAATTCAGACAAATTTTGCAGATGATCTTTCTGCAAAAACCATCGAAATCGTACGGTTATAAATTAAGGCAACGTGCAAACGTCGAATTATAAAGGAACCTGGAATGGCTGGAATCACACTCTCGGGTTGTCACTAATTGTCGTGCCGATCGGTTGCCCCACTCCATTTCGTGTGATGTGCCGCAGTACAAGATTATTGCTATAATGCTATCTCACATTCGAGTATTTACTATTTGTTTCATTTTGTTATCGACCATTGCTTATTAAATTAAATTATAATATATAAATTAGTCTATTGTGTACTAGATAATGTGTTGTAACTTATTGCCTTGTTCGAAATTATAAATATGCCAACTAAAGTGTACAAACAAAGAATGAAAAATAGAGAAAAGTACTTACTAAATAAAAAAAATAAACAAAGTGATAAAATAAACTCCCCCAAAAAACTGTAAGTAAATTGAATTAAAGTACCTACACTTATTTAAAAAAATAACAAGTTGAGTAATCAAATCTTTGGTTTCGATGTAACGACTACAGTAGTAATAAAGAGAGATCGTCTCGTGGAGGTAAAGACGTTTCTAATGTTTCTATAATAATCCTAGAGAGGAAAAATTAGAACAAAAATTCTTTAATTTTATAATAAGCGAATTTTAATACGTCGCTATATAGTAGCTCGACTAATTAGTGTTTATTTTGTGATAATATATAGTCTAAACACGTCACACGACTGCACGACATAAGTTTGTTTGCAAGACGCAACACCGGTCGACAGTTGCCTACACTGCGGCAGGACCACTACGAGTTTCGGCGTCGGTTTCCGCCATTTTAGTTGCAGTTTTCGTACACTATTCTCGTGCCGCCGTTCGCGTTTAGCCCGTCCGTCGATTCCGTTCGTTTTGTGCGTTCTGTGCTAACAAATTCGTTCAAAAAACTCAATCGCAGTTATACACATTCTGCACATCGATATCACCGCAGTCCTACAACGACTTAACCGTGAGTATTTGCAGCAGTTGCCGACGCCAACACAATACTACATACAGGGCGCGCGCCGGGTACGCGACACGTTGAGAACCGCCGTATAAACGATAGTGGCATATTAATATTTTTAATTTTCGTTTCTTACACTCGAAATATTAAACTGGTCGACGACGCGACCGTCGATCTAATTTAAGAAATATCTTCGGTCGTGTACTTTATCTCGGTGCGTGCGCCGACGCCGTTCCCCTGACGCGATCCCCATCGCGGCATCGGTATGTAAATATCATACCTGTCGACAACGTTCGAGTTGTTTATCGTACGAATTATTGTTAATTAATCATTATCATGTTTATGAGACTGCATACGCCTCGCCGACGATTTGTTTAGGTGTTCAATATTAAAACGACTGATAGCAGATGCCGGTTTACCGTGATTTTATTTAGTATCGATTTTTTGACGATTCCGGTCGACCGGCACGCGTCATGGAGTCGTACACTCATACGTGTTGATACACGTGAGAGGTGATTGGCCTACTTACGCCCAGACCAGTGGTCCACATTTCGGTTTTCAGAGCTGCTGCACCAAACCGGACCTGCGCCCCTTTTACGAATTTTTCGCTTCTCGAATACTCCAATTAATCGGTATTTTATTACGGTATGACTGATTTTAGTTTGTGGAGGGGGGGAGGGTACATTCAATTTCGATTTAGGCTGATAGGCCTGACGCGTGTTACGGTCAACGGATAATGAGTAATGACATGTTGTTCTGTGCTGATTCAAGTACAACATGAAATCAATCTCCTATACCTTTACAACGATATCGGATAATTTACAAGCGCTTGACCAAGACAGTTACATCGTGTGTAGCCGTCCATGTAGGCATGAAAAAGAGAGAAATAACTGAAATCAGTTTCCCAAACAGCATTAATAACCATTAAGTAAATGAAAACCCCGGTTAATCCTCAAAATATCACTTAAAACAACAATGCTATTATTTTACATTACTAAAAAAATTACTTACCTAATTAATAATATTATATAGTATTTAAAGAAAACTAAACAAATTCATACATACATTTTTATTGGACCATTAATTTAGTGTATATAACATTTACATTTATCTTTTTACAAACACATCATAATATATTGACATTGTTTAAACACTACCTATTTTCATGACTGGATAGTTCTGCTAAAGACCATGGTAATCGAGACCATAGTTAGGTTAGGAGTAGATTAAGACTACTGTATTTCATCTTAACACATTTTTTTAAATCCCATTTTATAATTTTTAGTAAAAGCCTAATAATTATAATTGAATAATTTATTAACATTATAATTAAATTAAATACAAGGTTGCCTCCAATTATTGATTGTAAAAAAAAAAATTGATAATAATTCTGTGTACTAATTATTTTATCATATACCTACTTATGTTTGGTACAATCACATTTAGTTGTATTTATAAAATATCTACTTATATTTTCTATAGTATTGTAACTTCATATTTCTCATTAAGTCTAACTTAGGTTATTGCAAATATTACAATCATAATATCAAAATTAATAATAAGACTTTATTTATAACATAGAAATATATAATAATAAATTGATTACCCATATATAGCTACAGCCCTCCCTGTCAGCTCAGATTAATATGTTGAGACAGTAACGTTCTAAATAGACTTAATGTTTAAAATTATATAATATAAATAAAATATTTATTATTCTACTTATTTTATAAATACAAACCAAACAAAAATAAGTATACTTCAATTATAGATTCTATCATAATCTAAATTGTATGCAAATCATTTAAAATTAAGTGTTTTAAAATATACATGATTTGTACACAAAGATGCTACTACAAAAATAAAGATTGTGATCCAAAAGTGGTCTTGCGATTTGCTACAATATTTACATTACTTTTAGGTATATCTTGTTTTATAATTATGGTTCACACTTCATTGTAGATATAAAATGTTTATGTTTATACAAAATAATTCATGAAAACTGGGTAGATTTAGCTCACAAAATATGAGCTCTGTATTATAAAGTACCTATAATTTTATCCAGTAAAATGTTGATCAAACTATTAATTGTTATTTTTAATTTCTCTACCTAGGTATTACATAAGAACAGATTGTACTAAGTATACGTATATAATCCTTTTCATATAAATATTAAAATGTTTCACATTTTTTAAGATAGGTACATAGAAAAACTTAAATAATATACTTGATCTAAAGTTCATTTAATTTTCTCCCAAATTGATGAACTATCAACAAGCTCTAGAACACTAAATACTTTCTATTCTAACTGGAAAAAAATATTACTACGGTATTTACTGGTAGAATGATTAAACTTAAAATTATTCAGTTTTTCTAATTTTTTTCCATACAAATTTGAATAAGGTACTTTTTGGTACCTATAATTAATCTTAACTTATGTATATTTGATTAACAGCAAAATGTCTTACAACCGTCGAAGTGGTGGTGGTGGTGGTTATGGTGCTGGAAATAGTGGCAACTATGGAAATTCTTATGGTCAAAGCGCTAATAATTATGGTGGCTCTGGCCATTATGGAAGTGGAGGAGTTGGTGGTGGTGGCGGCGGCAGCAGCAGCAACAGTGGAAATTTCAATGGAGGTGGCAACAGCCGTTTCAATAATTTCAATAGTTATGGTAGAAACCCAAAAATGAGTCCTTGGGAGTCTGGTGTATCCCCAGGAGGTGGGATGATGCCTAATGTTCATCCCAATCAAATGGCTCTTGCTAATGATTTATTATCTAAGCTTTTAGCACCTAATCAGGTAATAAATACAGTTTTATATAGTAGATGATAATAATGCATAAGAATTTATTGTATATTCCAACTACTTATTAAAATTTTTAAAGATTACTTTAATTCATTAATTTATGTTTATTTACATGTAAATCTAAACATTAAATATTGTAGGGCGGATACGGAAGTAGCCAAAATTGGGGTCCAAACCCTGGAATGGTGAGAAGACAAGAATCATTTAAGGTAAAACTAAGTTTAATTTCAAAAATTAGTACTTAAGCTTTTATATATTCTTAACATTTTAAATATTTTACAAATTTAAAGAAAATAATTGGATAGGTTTTTAAATATTCCTAATAGTACCTATTAGGAAATTGTTTAAATTAGGTTTTTGTACAGTAACTAATCATATTAATAGTATATCTAAACTTTCTATTATAATTATTTCGATTTGCCAATTATTTATTGCTGAGCGTTTTAGCTAATCTGAGTTTGGCCTGTTGCCGTTGGCAATTTGAATTCTGGAGCTGGCTGATTCGTTTCGCTGGCAATCGAATTATCGAACAAATTTCATAATCTCATCTGAGTTTGTTTTTCATTTGTTGTGCTCTATCGAATCTCTCTGTTCCTGGCACAATAATTGATCGGTTGTTTGATAACCGCCAGAACCAAAACCGGCGCAGGCCTGATAATCGCAATCGTAGACCTCCTCCAAAAAAGGACGATAAGAAAAAGGATTCTAAACCTGAAGCGGATAAAAATGATAAGAGGTAAGGAATCATTTCATAAAATCTATTATTCCGGATTTATATAAATATATATTTATATAATTCTTCGCTGCTATTTTAAAAGCATTTGGCAATTCCTCTTCAGTTAAATTATTTTATCCGCCCATATATTCCATTGCATTTTATTCAAATATTAGAAGAAATAGGAATTATTATTTTCTACTCTTTTAACCCTTATTATTTATTTCTCTTCTTAATACATAATTTTGTATTCTTACTAGAATTATTACTTTTATGGATTCAAAAACCTATTTTATAACTTGTAAAAATTATTCCTTAACTATATAAGTATCAAGTAAGTATCTTATTTGTTTATAAGCTGTAAGCTGGTTTGTATGTATTACCATTTTCTTAATTAATATACTAATTTTTATAGTTTTAGTTAATTATATTTAGGGGTTTATTTAATTAAAATTATAATATATATGCTATTAAATGTCTATATTGTTATGAAATCATTTAATTTGACTATTTTTAAAAAATTCATTATGTAAAACCAAAAAAAATTATTATATTATTAATATCTTAGTGAAAAGCATTTGTTTGTTAAAGTCTTGAAAGAATAATATTTTATTCATAAATTCGTTACGCTTATGTATAACATTATTATATTTTTCAATTTCAAAAAAGTTATTTAAATAAATGTATAAAATATTCAACCAAGTAATCCATTAACTAAAATTCTGTTAAAGTGTATTGTTGTATAATTAATTAAAGTAAAGAGAATGTCTTTACTCTTCCAAATTTGAACATCTTGACAGAATTTAATCTAAGTGTTCAATGGTTAGTACATTATTCTATAATAACTAGGAATGTAAAATTTTGTTTTATTCAATTAATAATCTGTAAATCTTCTATATTTATTCATACATATGAATTTTAAAGTAAAATATTCTGAAACAAACTGATCCACAGTTATTATTTGAGGTGTATTTATGGCAATTCTAACCATTAAACTTATGACCATTCTTTATACATGTTCAACTTTAGGTAACTTTGATTTAAGTTTACTATTAATTATATTACGATTGCTTGTAGCGTCTCTAACCCACATAAAACAATAAGTAGAGAGTTTTCCTTAAATTACAATGACCTCATGGATATAGGTTAGGTACTTATTGCACTTGTATTTCTCAGAATAATTGAGATAGGAAGGTAAACTCAACGAAATGTTAAGTGACAGATGATGAATGCAGTTAATAAAGTAATCAACCTTCGGCAAATCCATTTCTAAAAATTGATATGGAAACTACAGTAGTGCAGAGGAAGGAGTAGGTGTAAATCTCAAGAATACAAATACAAATTATGTATTTTCAAAATATGTAATTTTTCTATTAATTCTAAATAAAATAAGATTTAATTTTATCTTTTCCATTAATACCTTATTGACTTTTCTATAAAATTTTAATTAGGAGTATAGTTTAGGACTTAAAATAACATTTTATTTGTGAGGTATAAATGTTGAATCACATACTACAATAAATCACATTTTATTTAAGTTTTTTTCCTGATAGAGGTGGATTCTGTTGTCCTCTTCTTACTGTGTAAGACATACCAAAATTGTTACTTCAAATATTAAAAGTAATAATAAGACACAACATGTGGGTGTATCACCCATTCTTAATCAGGAAATAAAGAAACACCGGCTCTCATGGTTATTTTATATTCAAAAGTTGTAATTTACAACTTTTGAATTGAGATTTATTGTTGTATGTACCTAATTTATTACCTAATATAATTTTATTAAATATTTCAATTCTTAAAATCATCTCTCAGTGCACAGAATTATCATTTAAGGAATTAATACCTGTTTAAGGTGCTATCAAGTCCATACTTTTTCAACCAAGTATATTGTATTTTGTTTATTTTTAAATATATTTTGTTATGATTAAGTTTTTTGAGTGATTATAAATACAACATAATCTAATTTTGGTATATACATATATCCATTTTCTTGGAGACAATAACAATTTTGATATTTTTGTGTGGAGTAAATTATCATATTTCAACTGAACCTGATATTCAATTGTATAATTTTTGCTTTATCATATTTAAATTGAGGTTTAATTTTTACTTTAAAATTGTATTCTTTGTATATTTCTTGAAATTCCTAATTTGTATGTTATATATTAATTATATTATAATTAATTTTATTAACATGTACTTTTTTTTATTATTCTTTTTTATAATTCTAGTAATGAAACAAATGGTGTCAAAAAAGAAACAACGGACCAAGTAATTACATTTTTATTTTAACAACTATACAATGTAATTAATTCATTTTATATCAATAACTTAGGAACATGTGGATTATGATGGTATTCCGACAGCTGTATTATTTTGCCACGTTTGTCAAAAACACATGTGGGATGGAGCTGTAAGTTATAGTTGATGTGATTATTTTTAATATCAATGTGTTTCTAAATACAAGATTATGTCAAAAAATCACTTTTTTAGTCTTTTGAGAAACATGTCCGCGGTCGTCCTCATGAATTGATGATGACATACTTGGATGAAGGGTACAAAATGCAAGTGGAGTTAATGCGCCACCAGATTAAAGCAGCTGAAAATCAGAGGGAAATTGACTTGGAGCGTATGCAAGCTCAAAATAAAGGGAAAGCAAAACCATTGTTCCGGAACTACTGTCCTATGTGCAATATTAATTTCTATGGCCCTTTGACTGGACATCGTAAGAGTGATCGTCATCGTGTAAGTACCTAAATTAATAACATCTAAATACTATTCATTAACTTAAATATTGTTTAATGTACATGTCTGATCTCAGCAACTTAATGTTAAGATTCACATAGTCATACCTTATTACATGCATTTTGTTCTGTAATGCATAGTTTTAACAACTAAATAGGTGCATTTAAGTACTAGATATTTGTTATATATTCAACATTGGTTATCTTCAATATTTATAAATTCGTTTATTTTACATAAAAAATTGTTTATCAATGAAACAATAATAATTTCATTATTTTGTTGAAAATATCCGTAAAATTCTAATATCTATATTTAATGCACATATAGTTTGCTCATATTTTATATATCCATACTCCTCATACCCATACGAAAACATTACCGTGTCCGATCCTACACACCCCCCACTTATCGACTATGGTTTGGCCTTATATAACCGTTGTTGCACTAAGCAAGGGGGTAATGGTGTTTTGGACCGGACCCTACTATCATTATGCATGTATAAAACGGTTATGTTATCTCATGGGTATGAGTTTAATTTATTACTTTTGTAACCTATGGTGTAAGTCAATTTCTATTAATTAAATATATATCTTATAATAACTAAAATTTCATATTGCTTTAGAAATTGAAACAATTTCTTCATCCGGAATGTAAAATGTGTGATACATTATTCCATACTCGTTTGGAATGGGATGATCACAAATTATCTTCAGATCATTTACGCAAAGTTGGTGAACAGCGCCGTCAGTTTAATCCAGATCTTAAAGATGATGAATTTGAATTGCTTGATGTGATTGTGATTGAAGATGATGAACAATCAGAAGAAATTCCTGTAGCATCAAAATTAGATATGCTCGATGATCAAGATATGAAAGATGAAGAAGAAGAAGATCAAGATCAAGACGTTGCAAAGGAATCTGAGGAAAATAAAGATAATGAAGTAATAGATACTACTGAACAGGAAAAAGAAGATAATGACAATTCCAAAGAAGCGGATGATGTTTCCAAGGGAGAGGACGAAATTTCCAAAGAAGACAATGATGTTTCAATAATAGACGATGATACTTCAAAAGCAGAAAATAATAACTCCAAAGAAGAAAATAACATTGATAAGGAACTAAATGATACTGCTAAAGATGATACAACGGTGATTAAAAAAGAAAAAGAGGAAAAATATAATCCTGCTAATGTTGTTGGCCGCGAACTAGTAGTTAAAACTGGAGGATATGTATGCCGCATTTGTTCGATGTTTATGAAGAATGATGAAGAAGCAGATTTACATTGTCAAACTGCTTCACATTATATCAACTTCACCACTATCACAAAATTACATGTAAGTATAATTTATTTTGAAAAATGATTAACTTCTTCTGATGTTCATACCCTCTAAGAAGTTTTTCAACCATTACTACCCTGTGTCACTTGTATCTATCTTGGATTGCCTCACTCCAGTCCTCAACTCCTGGAGTTATATAATTATGTGACTTAACCATTGTATCCTTTGGCCCTTAATAAATCTTGTTTACTGGTGCTAGTCTTAACATATTGTACAGGTCTGTTATATTTGCTCCACCAGTTCTCCATTATTTCATTGATAATAGGTCCACATATTTTCCTCTGTATCTTGTTCCCAAAAGTCATATAATTTCTCTGTTTGGTCGTTGTCCAAGCTTTTCTTAACCATATGTGGGGGGCCAGTCTTATAGAATGAATAATATAATATTTTTGATAAAATTTGCTTAAATACGGTTTTTTTTTTTGTCAAGGCTAAAATCAACAATCGAAAACGTAAAATGAAAGAAGAGAAGAAAGAAGATGATGATAAAGAGGAGGTAAACACAGAAGAAAATGAAATTGAACAACCTGAGAAAAAAGCACGTTTGGATGAAACTGAAAGCGGCGAACCCGTAGTTGAGCAGAATGGCATAAGTGAACCTCAGTCTGAACCTATGGATGACGATGTCCAACAGATAAAATCTGATGTACCTGCTGTTGAAATTCCTGATGAAGAGTTGAAAGCAATTAACTCTGAAGATTCAGTAGTTGCGGACACTGTTACAACTAGTGAAGTTGTTGTTGAACCAGAATCTGAACCAGTTAAAGAAACTCCAGCTCCAGCTGTCAAAACTACTCCACCACGTGGTGGTCGTGGTGGCCGTGGTCGAGGAGTAGCAAGAAGAGGTCGGTCAAGTCGCTAAAATCACATTTAAAAAAAAAAAAAAAAGAAGAAGGATATACAACTTCAGAATAAATAATTGAGTACCCAATAATTCATTTGTAAGATTATTTGTTTTTAAATACTCTTCATTCATGTGTATTCAAAATATCATTCAATTTTAAATAAATAATAACCATTTAAATTATAAACAGTATACTAAATATTTGGAATTGTGTTCAGTATAGTTTCCTTACCATCGTATTATTATTCAAAATGTGCAACTTATGTTTTTAATTATGGACTTAAATTAATTTTTATATAATGTCTATAATTTGGTATTAGAAATTATACATTTCTACTTTTTTAGATATTTTTTTCCTGATAACAAGTTATTATTTTATTGAAAAATAAAATAATAGTTATAACTAAGCAGACTTTAATTTCTTTTTAAAATTTCTTAATTTCGTTAAAATTTAGATTTTTTCAAAAAAAATAGCTAAATTAGTGTAATCACTTGTGTAAGTTAAATTTAATGCATAAATTGAATATTTTATTGGTATTTTGCTAAGTAAAATTGGTTTTTAAAACATAATATAGTTGATAATTAAATTAAATATAATATAATCTAATTTTAGTTTTAGTTTTAAATTTAGGAACCTTTAAAATAATTGAATATACCTATTATATGTTCATAAAACAGTTGCATTGAAGAAAAAATGTAGATCATCTGAAATAGTGTAATTTGTATAAGTTTTTATTTTTATGTTCCAACAAATTAATCATAACACATTAAGTGCATGTATTCAACATTATCTATGTAAAACAAGTGTACTTAACATGTTAGTGTAATACATAAATAATTGTATGTGAAATTTGTATTTTTAACCTAATTATCATACTCTTAACTACATTCGTATATTACTCGCTACAATATTTGCCAATTTTATTGTTTTTAAGCGAATTGTACTTTTATACTGCATATATATATTTATATACAATTAATAATATATTATATCTAATACCTCACACCACTGCATGGTTTTTCTCTTTGTTTTTGTTCATATATGGATTACTATATTGTAATTGTGTGTGATTTCAAAGATATGATAATTTTCTTTGTTTAGTCAATGTGAGAGAACAAAGAATTGGTATACATCATAAGGGGACTTAAAAAATTTAATTTAATATTTTCATTGCACATGGTGGGAGAAATTGATAGCAATTGATAAAATATATTGTGCTTAATCTTTTTATTCTTTTTTTGTCAATTAAACAATGCTCCTACGAAGAGCATATTAAATTAGTAGGTTCTCTAATTGACCAATGAATTATCTGAGAAATACATTATACATAATGTTATTCTGTAATAACTGCTGTAGAATGTGCATTCTCAATGGGGGGAAGGCTCTTTTCATTGCCTTTGTTTATAAGTTTATAACCATATTTAACTAGTGTTTTTCAATTGTTCATGGAATTGAGTGGCTGATGAATAACAAGTAATTTGTGAGTCATTGCCTTTTTTATATTTCATTTATTGAGTATCAATCGTTTGAAAAACCTGTGTTTACATTATACCTTGTCTCAAATATTCAAACGGTTGTTTAACTAAAAATATGACAGTCAAAACTGAGAATCGTTGATTTCCTTAAACAATCTTATGCTTTATTACCTAACCTACATTAACTTACCAAGGAGTACATACATTTACTACAAACGTGACATGTTTCTATTTTAATGTATTTTTTTAGAACTGTCATAATAGCTTGATATTAAATAGTTTTTGATGTGTTCGAAAACCATGAAAAATGTATAAAATAATTACTGTTATAAATAACAATTTAGCTTTTTCTTAAATATGAGTAAAATTAATATTATTAATTGTTATTTATATGATATATTACATTTTATCGTTATTAAAGTCCACACACTGGAGCGGTGGCGGTAAATTGTGTCCAGACTTATTTTACCGCTCCCGCTGCAGTGTGTGTGTGTGTGTTTGTGTGTGATCTTCATGGTGGGAAGTGTTCTAGAGTTTAACTAGGAGTTAGTAGTTGCAAGATCGATTAGCTTGAGTCTGGAAATCAAACTTCAACATAAGCCATGGTCAAAAGACATCCTCTTCATCGATACAATTTTTTTTCAAAAATCAAATGTAATCAATAACAAAAGTAGGTTATAAATTTATAATATTAAGGCATTTTCTATTCTACACTAAGTATTTTATAATTGTATACACCTACACCAGAATTTAGGGAGCGAATGGGTACTTTTCAAATATGATCAATAAAAGCTTTTATTTTTTCATTATATGCTCTTACTTATTTACCCTTGTTAAGTAACCATAAGCTATGACTTGTTAGCGTATTCGTCCGACCAGTATTCTGTTGATATTAAGCGACCACCTTAAGTCGTCAGGGCCTGGTGGATCGCTGAACGCCTGAACTGGTGATCTTCGGAGAGGCGTCTCATGAACCTGTAAATCTAAACCCAAACCCAAATTGGGAGCTTAGCCACATCAATTATTCAAGAAATGTAATTTCGAAAAGTATATGTTAATATATTTTTGCATTTAATTTTCTAATAAAATAATAATTTCTTTTTGTTATTTCGATACAGCTTAATTTGTAGAAAAATACATTAATTGTAGCTTACTGTAGCCTGTAAAACCTGAAAGTTACACAAAATATGAATTAGGTACTTATCATTTGATATTTATTATAGGTACAATTTTTGACTTAAAATGTCTATATTTTGATTCTTTAGTTTTTCGTTGTTTTTTAAAGTATTTTTATTCTTATAAGTCTTACAAATATTATTTATAATATTTTAGTTTTGAGCAAGTTTTGGGTATATAAGATTATAGCGAAAATTAAAAATGCTCATTTGTAGTGATGAACATTGGTCTTAGTGTTGCGGTCTAGCAAGACTTTGGCTACGAGAACAAGGCCAAGATGGTATACTGTCAATAGGTAGTTTTTTCCCCAAAACACATTAGTGCATCTAGATTTAATTAACTAATAATTTATAAAGAAATGAGTTTTATAGTTATTGATTTATATCAGTATTCGAGGAAATGGCGAGTTAATGATAAAAAGATAAGAAATAATGGGAAGTATCAATACAAAATAATGTAGTTTGATACTAATATTTTATTTTCCCGAAATCGATAAAGACGTCGGAGGTTGCAGTGTTGCTAATAAGATAATTTATGTCCATAATGCACCTCCACTTCAAATCGAATACTAGTATTCGATAATAGACTAATAACTGCTGGAAGTCATTACGGAGACTACGATAGGTATCATTTTGATTGTAAGTACGTTTTTATTTTCGTTCGTAGTTAGCTTGGATATTGTGTACTTAAACGTCCTAAACTACGCATAACATGTCATTACTGTCGTAAAATTGTAGTCTGTCGGTAAGACGCCTTGTCGTCAATACGTTTCAACGATATTATATTATTATAATAATGGCTATAACGAGGCAGGGCCGTAGCTAGGCGCTGGCAAGAGCCAAGAGGGCATTTGCCAGGGGCGCAATTATACGAAAGGGGCAAGTTCATCGAGTGGCAATCTCAATTCAAATATGATAGTTGATAATTAACAAAAAAAAATCTTTATTTTTAGCATTATCGCAATAAGTTTCTCGTCGCGCAATCGCATAATATTGGGAAACCACGCTATTCCAGTCACCGCAGCTACATCTGAAAGAAGCTTCAGTAAGCTGAAGATCATAAAAAACTATTTAAAATCTACGATGAACCAAAATCGTCAAAAATAATAGGTATGGAAATTTTGTTAATTGAAAAAAGTTTACTTGACCAAATATCATTTTTGTTTTAATCTGTTATTATAACACATAATGGAGCAATTTTTATAATAATAGAAAATTATTTATATAGTAAAATGGTATTGTCCGAGTTGCGGTCGCAATAGACGAATTGCGGTCTTAATTTTAGACGTTAATTTTAGCTTCAATATTATTAATATTATAATATTATTAACACCAATTATTATGATACGAGGCACCAGCTTTATCCACAATGTTATCGTAAGTCAACGTTATATCGTTTAGTCTATTGCAAGACGTTTTTGTATCAACACGTTAAAATTCCACAACTATCTGTAATGTATAGTGAAAAAGGGAAAATTTTGCTTGTATTAAATAATTTTAAATTTAGAGAGTACCGTCTTCTTAAGACAGGAGAAATGTCTTGGAGTTGCACTAATAAAAATTGTGAAATGTGCATCATACAAATATGAGTAACTAACACAACTAACTATAAATTTGTATTTTGACGTAACGTATTTTGATCGTTTAATTTTTTTATTTAGCATAATAATATGTAACTTTGTCAATATTTAAAACAATAATTATTAATCATATTTTTTTACCGCAACTAGGATTTTTACTTATTTTGATATTTTACCTGTTTTGATCCCGACCGCAACTCGGATTTTTTTTTTTTACCTGTTATAATCTCGTCCGCAACTCGGTCTCAACCAATAAAATAAATATAATATACTTGTGCTACAATCAACAGTGTTTTTTTTTTTAATAATGAGCATGGTAGATGAAAAAAATGTATGAGGTAGGGGGTGCAAATTTGCTTTTCTACCAGGAGTGCTACTTGTTCTTGCTACGGCCCTGTAACGAAGTAACCTATACGGCTATACCTATTCCGTGTTTCTGTTAAAAATGTTAAAGTATTGTAAGTTAGTAAACAAATATGTGTTTTTTTTTTTTTTATTTATACCTCACTTGAAGCATTCGAGCTCAACAAAAGAAGCTCCGGAAGAAGAACCGCTTCGCCCGTTTCCACATTGAGCGTCGCCTGGGCTTGACCACGGCCGGTTACCCATCACACTATTACAGATGCAGGCTCCTGCAGTAAACTCTAGGAATGATTTATAATTTATGAATTGTTTTTTGTTGAGCCATTATAAGTAGTGATAGTTAAAGATACATAGTTCAGAAGAAAAAGAACGTCAGTCATGATGGGTATTTGTACGACATATTATATGCAAAAAATTACTAAAATAATAAAACAATAAGTCAATACAAAACAGGTGGTAGTACCTTTATTATATTAGTCGATAAAAAAATATTTATATTACGATAAATTAATGAAAAAATTATTTGTCACAACGTTGCTTGATATTTTTTAGCCAAAAATGTGTATGTATTACCCGCCCATTGTGAGGAGGCTCAACTGCCAACTATAGTTTTTTTCTTTTCGTTTACGATAAAATTTACGGAACGCCGGGAGGCGCGTTTCGTGTGAAAAATTATTGACTTTGTCTTCGGGAGGCACCCAACTATATACATTCGGGATGCGCCCGTTGCCTTATTGTCAGTGCTTAAATAGTGCATCGCGGTCGCAAGAACAAGACATTTGAGTGAACGTATAGCAAATAACATTATACATCGTAATTAATTTAGGCTACAACTAATTTGCGCACATTTACCTTTTTTACAACTCATTTGCGCGGCGCATCCGAGTTGGGTCCCGAATACTAGGGGCTAATCGCAGGTAGTGTAGTGTACTAGTTGGGTCCCGGATTTACCTTGCGCACAAAAACGTAACTCATTTGCGTACAATTTACGAACAATAGAAACCTTTTTCAAAGAAATATATCCTTGTATAGGGTGTACATTATCTACGCACCTCACAATTTTTGAATTGGTTTGAATTACTCATTACTGATGTAAAATTATTAAACTCAAACAACATTTTCCTTCAAATTGTCACCATGTTCTATATTATCAGCAACATCGGTGTTTTTTAGCTCTTGACGTATTAATTTGTTTGGACGGGTAGGTATACAGATCATTTTCCGCCTTTCTTTTCAGTGAGCTCCTTACAATTTAATACTCATGACTCGTATACTTGGCGAGCGTTAATGCCGTTTTTGATAGATAAAAACTGATAGGAAACCACGTTATGCTTTAAGACTATACGGTCATAATCGATCGAGTATGGGCGGTAGCTTAAAGCACCCTGTACACCAAAAACTATACCTACAATCTATTTTTCATTGTTCACTAGTTTGTGCGCAAACGGGTTATCGTAAATTTTAAAAATATTTTAATATGTGCGCAAACGCGTTTCCGCCTTAAATCTTAATTTACCAAACATTCAAACAGGTAGTTGTGTGCAAATTTCCTCACCACCTTTGCTCAAAAACGACGACATTGCAGGAATATCGAAGTCCGTTGAAAAGCATGAGGTATTGCACGTGGCGCGTTTTTTTTATCGTGGTTTCCCCGTTAAGGCATAGTCCACGGTGCAAATAAAGTGTCAGTTTTGTCCACGATTTCACCACCAAGTTGAGAACTTTTTCATCGATATGGCGGACAAGTTTTTGTTTTTAATGTAAGTATGAGATTCGAGATTGTACGATATTAATTATACTCAGGACCCAGGGGTCGAAGTGGAGGGATGCCTTTCATAATTTATATAGTTCCCATACTTTATAGTTATTGCTTAAACAGTCGTATACAAAATAAGTGGAGGGATGGTAAATATGAATTATAAAAATTGGGATAGACAGAAAACTGGTACGGTCTTCATAAACTCGGAATACTGATAGTCAAGGTTTCCCAAACTTGAATGAAAAAAAAAAAAACAATAAAATATCAACGATTATTTTTTATTTTATTTTATCGACGATCGATGGGAAACCACAAGTGACTGCAATGTAATTGTATGATTGTACGATTATGTGTACAGAGGGAACAGCTGTTAAAACGAAATATTCGAAATTACCGCTATGGATATTTACCTAGAGAACCAATAAATTCTGATTTCAATATCTCCGAAGAGTGGAAAACTACAATGGGGGCTGAACCTCGGTCATTCATGATATTTGACAGTGAGCATGTAATTATGGATTTCAAAATCGCTGCTATGAGTGCAACAAAATTTGAATGATTCATTTAATGACAAAAAAATACTTTGCTAGACAAACTACACAACAAATGGGAGAGCTTCTCAATTAAAGAAATTCAAAGAGGACAATTTTTAAATAATATAGCAAAGTATATGAAACAATTATCATTAATCATATATTATATTATATTGTATTCTTTGTACCTATGTGGCTATATTTTATATTTATTTTCCCTTCCTGTCTACTTTGTATGTACTTATTTGTGTTTTTTGTTCATTGTGATTGCCATAATATTAGAAATACAACAATGTAACGAAGGTAAGATCAGCAATACTCTGTCCATCGGATCGAACATTAATTACTGAATTCAATGATTGCATCTCGGGTTATCGAAATGGTATGGTGAACTCGTGGATTTCGTTTTAAATCAATAGAAAATATTGTAAGACTTTACAATACCTATTATTTAAATCATTATAACGCCCACTCGCTGGTGAGTTTTTATTTTAAACGGTTTATTTAACCGTTACATTGTTCTGCCAATATGATCCATAAAGTTGCGAGTTACACGGGGGTTCGTGGTTGGGAACTTCACGTTTAAAACATTTTCCATAGAAACAAGAGTTGATTAAAGGGGTATCGGTATAATGGAAAAAATGCTATGAAAATTAATTTTTGTACTTCCAATAATATGGTTTTTATTGAGCGGTTTCAGAGTTAACGCGTGAAGAGAAATATTGATCTGTGATGACTATATAAAAATCAATTTTCGATATTTTAATAATGCTAAATTATTCAACAATTCAAACATCACACGTTTTAGAGGTATAAGTAAATTATCGGACGTTGAAAACAAAATATCGAAAGTCGACTCTCGTCCGTGACGTGGATAAACTTATTCTCTTAAATTTGTCGAATAAGTGCTCATGCTATATTATATTGTCGGAAATACGAAACCAGGTTACAGCTAAAATTCACATTCATATAATTAGTGTGCAAATTGTCTGGGCTAGAGGAGCGCTCCACTATTTATTTTGTACACAGTCAACTCGCGATTTAACGAAATTCGATACAACGAAAATCTCGATATAACGAATAAAACTACCGGTCCCTTGAAAATATCGCGGTATAACAAACAAATGTAATGTATTTTGGTCCCCTCGATGTAGCGAAGCGTTTTTGATCAAAACTCTGGAGATGTAACGAATTTTTATAAATTTGGAGCTTTTTATTATGAATTTTTAATTTTAATTAAGATAATGTACATGTATCTAGTGTATAACTCTATGAAAGATATATAAAAATAAGTATGTTGGTATTACCACATAATAGATTACGAAGTTTTTCTGATGATTATCATGCGATAGGACACTCAAGTACAGTATCGCAATTAAGATAAGACTTATGTCGAATAAATACATACTTTTATGACTCATATATTTTATACATATGTATACGAATAACAAAATTTTTAAATAAATATGTACAATCTCTTTAAATCTCGTCATAACGAATTCAATTGGTATATTCTCTTGATATAACGAATTTCGATGTAACGAACTTTCGATATAACGAATTTTTTTCTTGGTCCCTTGAAATTCGTTATATCGCGAGTCGACTGTATATACAATATACATGGACTGCGGGCACTGCTCTACCCAAACCCTACCATATTATGTTGCCAACAAGCTGTTAGAAAGAGATAGTCAATACCCGTGAAATTTTTTAACGGGATTTGAGTACCCGACAAGTGTATGCTATTTTTGTCTAAAAATGTTGTCTTTTCACACTCTCTTAATGCGGGAGTATAAAATATGGTACCTAAGTTGTAAGCTATATTTTTCCAAAAATTAAAAAAATGTAGCCCCTGGACCCCTCTCTCTAACTCTCCAGTCTCCCTCTCACCCTCTCACCCTCTCTCTTTGTTATCAGTAGATTTCTTTTTTAGGTCGACGATCACTTACTATGCACACACTTGCACGACCCGCTCGCATACACTTGGAATATTTGCCTATATTGAACTCCTTAAAATCGGTCGGTATTGATAACCCTTACTACTAATAAGGACATTGGTGAAAAATGTAACAGTAACAATAAACCAACATCAGGTACAATAAATATGTAAACCATTCGAGTACATAATTTTAAATAAATTAAATTGACACTTCATTTGCACAAGTCCTTACATATTCGTGTGCATCAGAGGTCTTATGATATGCCATCTACGGGGTAGAGGGGAGGCTCCAGATAGGTTGGGGGGGGGGAAGTCTAACTTTCAGAAGACTTTCGATATTATGATACATTTTCATTTTGTAATTTTATTATTATTACACTGTACAATTTTTTAGAAATAAGGGATTGGGGGCTGCCTCGGAGCCGCCCCTGCTACGGTACACTAAAATGAGTTGCTAACTATCAGGCCAATTAAGTTAAATATTTAAAAACTAAACTTTGATATAATTATTGTTGTAAGTAAGCGGCCGGTCGCCGTACCAAATATGTGCACTGTGAGTTTTGGAGCGCGGATTTGTATGCATTAAAAAACAACCAAATGTGCTCTAAAAAATCTGAAATTTGCATGAACAAACACACTAAAATGTTCAAATATACATGAAAAATCGGACGTGTTGAAGTGAAACTTCTTTGCATAGGGTGTGGAAAGAAGGTTCATCACTATCAAATATTAAGTTCGTAAAAGTAAAACGATAACATTTTTTAAATGAAATCGATTAATTAATTTTTTTACAGAGATAAGGTTATAAAACAAATTGATTATCATTTATTACCATTAATACCTTACAGCAGGGGTGGGCAACTGGCGGTTGGCGAGCCTTTTTTATCTGGCCCGAGATACATTTTCCAATTACGTTATAAACAAAAAATTAAATGCTAATTAAAATGTATATTTTAAATGACCCAATTTTTTTTTTTGCTTTCTATAAGTTCTGGCCAGCTAGATTTTAATTTCCTAAAAATTGGTCATCTAGAAACTTTGAGTTGCCCATCCCTGCCTTATAGGGTCCAAACAGACTTCCGGATTTGGCCAATACGCCTTACATATACTAATTGTTAGTATTACTATATACTAATCAATGAGTGTATGGAAAGCGTAATGACATAGAGGGCGCTTTTTCATTACTGGATTATTCGTACGCAAGGTTGATTGGGGTAGTAGGGCAAGACGAATCTAGGACGTTTCCCTCTGTGCCCCCCCCCCCACGATTCATTGGACGTCACTACCCGAACTGAACAATTCCCCCTTCACCTCACGGACAAAAAATTTTAAGTAAAAATATTGAACAATAATATACAATGAAAATCAATAAAAGTCAAATTATTTCATTAATATTTAAATATAATTTCAATAATAACACTATTGCCAAAACAAGATTCACTAATCCGATCTGTTTGGACCCTGTAAGCCATACCCGTAACGCATTTTGGTCGCAACGGCCCATAAATCCATTTTCATCAACTGAGTCTAAAAGAGTTTCACTTCAAAAAAAGAAAGCGGCCGGTAAGTGGATATCGCTCTACTGTACATTAGGTGTCTAAAAGGTCGCTGTAATGAATCGTATTCAATTGTATCAAATCATTATATAAGAAAAACGATTCTGAGCGGAGACGGTATGTCGGTGTAGGATATTTTATATTGTTTTTACTCATTATTAATATGGAATCTGGTAAGTTGAATTAATAATATTCTTAAATTATCAGTGATGCTGGAAACATATTAAATATACCTATGTACAATTGGGCTGTTTTGGGACCGAATCGCAACAAAATGATAAACGTTATCCTTTGTGTTAATATGCAATTTTGTCCAAATTTGAACTTAAAATGTCTGTAAAAAATAACTGTATTCATATTTTTTTTAGATTTCTTAGTTAAGGAAAAAACTGTGTAAGTGGAACCTTGTTTTAAACTTTCAATCCTTAACTATAAAAATTGAAAATTGTATACATTTTTCACTACAAAATATTTTTCAATTTTCAATTTGATAAATATTATCAACATTTGAAACTTTAAATGGTTATAAAAAAATTCATGCCTATGTATTTTTAAGATTTGTCAACTGCTATTGCAACAAGTTATCAAGAGTCTTGTATTAAATGTTCATGCTTTTTGACTCAACCAATAAAATGGTATTAACATTTATGGAAAAACAAATGAAAATGAAAAATATCAAACGGCTTATAACGCGTCAAAATATTTTGAAAATTTGATAAGTATATGAATTTTTGAAATAAACATTTGGTCAAGTGTCTAATATAATTCTTTTTTGAATGACAACAAAATAAGAAAATCGCTGCAAGAGAAATCGAGTGAATATCCCACGTCGTAAAAATTTCAATTTCAAACGCTCATTAAAATTTAATTTAATTTGTTTTTTGATAAAGGTAGACAAACTTATAAGGAATCTTGTATTAAATTTTTAAATCTCAGTTATAAATAGAAATTTTTTTATGAATTTCTAACTGAATATAACTTGCTAATTTTCGTGATTTTTACAAATTTTATCAAAATTCTAAGTTTCAACGCTCATAACAAATTATTGTGGATTTAATCTTTTATTTTAATTTCCATTAACAACAACCTACAAGGAACCTTGTATTACATTTACAAATGTAAATGTAAATCTTTAAAAAGACTTAAATTTTCTGAATATTTAATCAAAAATAATACATTTAAAATTATGGATCTCTACTAAAAATACTTTTATTTAAAATATCTGTGTGTTTTGTAGAATGTAGCCGGTAGCAAAGTGGTTTTAATCTAAAAGAAAAAAACAGGAATCACAAATATCAAAATTTTTCTAAAAAGAATTTACTTAATTTGCTTTTAGGTACCTAAATGATTTGTCTTTTTTTGGTAGTTTTAATCTATAAGAAAAAAACGAATGAAAAAAATATATTCTGGAAAACTGTTTGTACCTACGAGTATTATACTATTATTATAATTATAGGTATAATACCTATTAATTTATTTTTATATAAATCAAAACTACAAAATCATAATATTTTTTTTTTCTTATTATTAATTATTATATAGTGATCGTTTCAAAAATATCTAAGAAATAAAAAAAAACTTTGAAACATACACTTAAAGATGAAATATGCAATTAAAATAGTAAAATAGAAAAAGTGTAAATGTCTAAATATGCATAATATGTAGGTAACATAAAACTGTCAAAGTTTAAATCGCTATATCATGAAACAAATTCTGTGCTCATAGCGTATATCATATCATACGATTAGTGTTGGAGGGGGGGAGATAAGCTTATAAATTATACCAAGTTTTTTACAGTTTTCGAATACCTATAAATGTAATACATTTATTGTAGAGAAAAAATGTCGGGCCTTTTTCAAATAGGAATACTGCCACTAAAGCTGTACATTTATAACAGGTATAGACCAGGTGATCGGGCCACTATGTTCGACGATTTTCTATTTTTCTATTTCCGGTAATCGAGCCACTATTAAATTAATACGCCATGTGTAAATTACCACGATACCTACATCGCATGTGCACACGAAACTTTACTTAAAGAGTGCCTTATCAAAGGGTGATGAAATGATACAGAATCAGCAGAGGCTGCCATCAAATGAAATGGATAAAAAATAGCTAAAAGCGTAATTTACAAAGATTATACAGAACATCACTATAGTTTAGTTGATTGAAAACTTAGTATTGTTATTATATATATATGGTCCGGTAGTATATAAGAGTACAATAGAATTTATAACGTCGGAGAGTGTAAAACAATTATTAATTATAAATGTTCTTCTTGTTCGCACGAGAGTCAACGCTGGAAAACTCGGTGGCTATGTGCCAAGAAAACACCTACAGCACGAATAAATACAATTTGCACTAATTTACAAGCAGATACGTACAAAATCGATAATTTTTGTTGTATAGTTGTCACTATTTTTTTATTTAACAGATGAATCAAACGTATGACGCTATGAGGTCATGAGGAGACAGAACAAATTGTGGGTCAAGTTATCGGGACTACCACAAAAAGAAAAGCGATCGAAGATACTTCGGTAAGAGGATCCAACATTGTTATTTCCGAAATTGCGAACTGCGCATCAGTAAATACTGAATTTTTATGTTTTAGAAAAAAATATTATTAATCATTTCACTAATTGTATGAAATTAAATCTGTGAAATCTGCGTATGGCATTATTTTAAAAGAAAAATTTGTTTTATTGTGTATCAGAAGAAATAATAATAATTAGTCCATAAAGTTGTATATTTGTATATTTTTGTATTATACATTGATGACCCCATCTCGGGGTGCACTTAAAAAATATAGATTTATTTTGTGCTCCAATCCCCGGTAAGTAAAAGGTAAACAAACATTTTGTACGAAGCCGGTATAGATAAAATGTGGCCCAATTACCGATACAAAATATGTCAAAGGGGGAGATAAAACACCCCCGAAACATCTCCAGGTTACGCCACTGCATATACGATCAACCTGAATAAATAAGCGATTGCATATAAATCCGCGCTCTTATGATTTTTTTATAGTCAAGAAAAAATACTTAAGTATTGGTAAGTTGAGTATTATATCCGTATTATATTAAATCAGCACATTTTTAGTACATTTAATTATAATTTATAACACTACCCTCGTCACCAACTATTTTCATTAATTTGCGTCTATGAAATAATTTAGGTCATTAATGCATTACTCAAATTATTTTATATATACTTCTTTTTTTCATTTTTTTTTTTATATTTTTTTTATATTTTTATCATTTTTTTTTTTATATTTTTTTTATATTTTTTTCATTTTTTTTTGTATATATTTTATATTTTTTCATTTTTTTTTGTACTTATTTTATATTTTTTTTTATTTTTTTTTTTATATTTTTTTCATTTTTTTTATATTTTTTCATTTTTTTTTTGTACATATTTTATTTCGTTCTAATGAGAACTACTCGTAATGCGTAAAAAATAAAAGTAAAAAATAAAAATGTCCTCACTCATGCATTTTCTAATCATAACCAGCGAGATGGGAGAGAGAAGAAATTATAGCATACGACCTGGATCCACATATAGTAAGGACTATGTTGATTATTTTAAGTAGAGGAAAGATAATTTAATTAATTTATTACATTACTTTAAAGTTACACACTATTGACAATAAAACTAAAATTAAAAAAGTAAAAAGTATTTAAAAAAAAATCACGATCTTAATACTACGATATAAATAAACAAACTAATTATATTCTGTTAAACATTTACGCAGTATATCCAAACAATATATTCTCCTTTTTAGCCAGCATGGTGTTGAACGAACGGTTTCTTACTAGCCAACATAATATAATTTCAATTTTATATACGTGGGTATTCTAGACTCCTATTTAATGTGAGTTACCAAATGTTTAGCAAATAATAATTCTTGGCAAATCTCTTCTCCTCTCACGTATCGTAAGTGAAGGCTTCGTTACTCGACAAAGGTTTTTGAACCAACAAATAAAATATTGAAATTTATTGAATAATAAAATGAAAATTGAAAATATCTATTATCTATAAATAACTTTAAACTAGTCAAAATATTTTGAAAAATGTATCATGTATAGACAATTACAAAATAAACTTTTGTTGAAAATTTCAAGTATACCTAGCTTATATTTTTTGAACAACAAAAGTACCCAACGTTTATAACTTTAAAACTAATTTGACTTTCTGGTAAACTTTTTGGTTTGTTAAAAGTAGGAAAATTTAAACAAAATCTTGTATACAAATTTGAAATTTTAGATTTACACATTACATAATTATGATTTTCAAACTAGAAATCATTTGCCAATTTTTGTAATATTTTCAAAACGTGAACTTTAGACACTCATAAATAATTATAGTTGATTTCTTTTTGTCAATTTCCACTAACTTATGAGGAACATTGTATTACATTTTCTTGTTTTACGATCAAGTGAAATGTTGTGTAACAATTGTAGTTACCAAAAAAACCTATAAAAGTTGAATTTTTCTTATGCCAATTAATAAATCAAATAGAATCACAATATTTCGAAAATTTTTAGTGCATAGAAATTATTGATTATAGGTACAAACATTCAGTGAAAATTGCATGTATCTATTGTTATTTTGTTTAGTTACACTTTAAAATCAATTATTAGTTAGGACATTATTACGAACGTAGTATTAATAACATACAATTGTGGGTAGCAACTGAACATTTTGGCAGGATGTATTTTTTATAATATGGTCGAATTATGGAATAAAAGCCATTTTACTGAGACAATTACTGCTGCGACCACAATACTAAAAAATATGTTCTCACACCAATAAAAGTTTGATTTTGACACTCCTTCCATTATAACACAAAATAAATACCTGTGGCACACAAAAAATTTAATTTTTATTTAGATTAAAATTATCAGGAATTTTAACATTAATCATTTTTTAATTTAATATAGTGAAAATAAATGAATTGGAAAGGGTGACTTGATGAGAGGATTAGTGAACGGAAAAGAAATCAGACCACCAAGAATATTTCATTGAGAATGCCCAAGGAGTTTATGGTCGATATATAGTCTTTCTCACCTCAGGGATTAATAGAAAAGACAATAAATATTTTGCAGTTTGTTTTATTCTTAAAGGCTTAATAAAATTATATATAAAAAAAAAAATCATACAAACGAGATTCTTCCCATTACACTTGAATGATAGTAGTAAAAGTATAAAATAAATATAAAAAAAATTCAATATTAATAATATAGTTATTATATATATATATGTGTATATATACAGATACACTAACATATATATATAATTATAAGTGAATAGTTTATTTTGAGAACATGAATATGCTATGAGAATTAGATATTATTACTAGTTAGGTTAGCGTTTCGATACTTGTCGAAAAGCCAAAAGGGGGAGAGGAAGAAAGTACGTAATTGTTATCAAACAAATACAAAATAGGTGGTTAACAGTTGAATTTCGTTTTTGTTCGTTTTTTTTTTCACTTAAATAATAAATTAATTTATACACTTAAAAACATAAAATATATATAATAATATGTATAAAATTATATAAATGGTAGAAAAATTTACATCATACAGAGAGGATATTGTCACCGAAATAGGAAATAATGGATTTTCAACGTTTTCATTAATTAAAAAAATAATAATAAAATGTTATATAATATGTATAGCTAAGCGGAATTGTATCGAGGTCCTATTTGTCTGGTCCCCATTTAAATTAAAGCGTAGGCCCAAACAAACAAATAAGTCTTAACACATAAATAAAATGGATAATTAATTATAATTATTATACTTAAGAGTTATGCGTTAGGTTATACCTGAGCTTCAGATTTGTCTCCCAGTAATAAATTGTAAATTTTTTTTTTTAGATTTTTAAAGTATTTTTTTTATTATTAATTAAATTATTGGAGTCAATTTTATGAAACATATTAGCTCGACAACACAAGTATTTAAAATTTCTTGTTGACGAGCACAAAAAATCAGTTCATAAAAAAAAAAATGGATTTGTGGGTATTGATTATATGTTTTCATATAACATTTACATAACTTATAAATACATCATGTATGATTTTTTTTCATTTTAAGTCAGTAGTATAATGATGGGTCGAAAGTGTTGGTGAAATCGCTTAATTTAAAATGATGGTGATGAGTCTGCTTCATTGTAACCAGTGCAAATACCGCTCATTTGTCTTCTGGTTCTTTCTCTCCTTCCTTTTTTCCATCACCCTATAATATATATTTTTGATTAGACATTACAATCAATACAATCATTACAAGTGTATTTAATACTCATCAATTTAAGTACTACACAGACAAATCTAGGAATCGAAATACTCACTTTTTCGTCAGATGGTTCCTTAGCTTCTTTTTCAGTATTTTTGTTTTCTGCAGCTTTTTTGTCTCCATCTTCCTTAGGCTTTTCTTCAACTGGCGGTGGTTTTGGCAAATGGCTGTTCAAGTCTAGATTCTTACACATGTCTTCCCAGTCAGGGAAACACCGTTCCTTGATGCGGTTAGTGTGTTCCACTAAATTTCCAAAATTGTCCACTAAATAGTCTCGTAATGGACATTCAACATCTTTGTCTAAAAAGAACAATTGTGCCAAGTTTGCAAAAGCCACTACATCCAGCTGAAATGAGAGTACATTTATTTATATAGAAATCAAAAAATGGCACTTTTTATTTAAGAATTATTATAATATCAAAAAAAAAAATTACAGTTGAGGGTTCATTTCCAAAGAAATACAATTTGTCGCCTAAAACATCGGATAAAACTTTAAGATCATTTTGTCCAAATTCCAAAATCTCTTCGGGCTTATGAACTCCAATTCCTTGAGCTTTAACTTTTTTTAATCCCTATGAACAAAAAACAATTGAATCAAATAATAATATATTGCATATGTATCTTTTTAGCACACTCACCTTTCGGCTATAACTGTGCTTGAACAAGAAATTAAGAACTCCATTTGGAACCCATGTACCAAGTGCATGTTGCAAATTCACTTTGTATCCTTTGATAACATTTTCTGGAGTTTTTGTCTTCCACCATGTTATCACCCTAAAACAATTAAATGTAAGTAAATTTATAAGTAATAATTTCCAAAAATTTAGAAATAGCAACATACCAAACAAGTTTATTCTCAATCATCGATACCATAGCATGTGATATGTTACGTTGATCTTGGCTCAATGCTGCATCAATATCTTTGCCAAATTTTTGACTAAGCTCTTTAATAATTAGAGTACTATCAGCAATTTCTTCGCCATTCAATTCAATAAACGGTAATTGTCCTTTTTTGGAACGGTGCTTCATTTTATGGTCGACATTCTAAACATAAAATAAAATAAATTATTAATTTATGTTATTTATGTTTTGTTAACATACATTTTACAAAAACAAACTAGTCTTTGGGGTTTAGACCGTTATCAAACCAGTTAAATGCTGATCTAATTCTTTTGTTTTAGTTAGAGAAACCATGTTTATGATTAATGTAGCCGAAAGAGGTATTTCCGGTTGTATCCATCGAGAAGTCTAGTCCCATGAGCAACCATCATTGGAAAATAAACGAATTTTCTAGATTTTTAATTCAAGAAGAAACGATGGACAAGCTACAGAAAGATAATATACAGAAAATTGAAATTAAAAAACCAAGGACGTAACGTATAAACAAATACAACTGGTAGAGGTAGCGTGGTATGTCACACATTGGATGGCAATACGTTATTCGAAATAATGATGAGTCGTTCGCTTTCGGCAGCTTATTACTAAGGTTTTTTTTTTTGTAAATTCGATACTTTACTATAAAAAATATAGACGTACTCTGTGCGCAATATTATTCAAATAATACTATTTTTAAATATTTAAAAATACAATATGAAAGTTTACTCGGGGAGAAGAACTATAAAGTCAATAACCTCGAACCCCCTTCCGGTCGTAAAAACGGTACCGGTTTCCAGTACAGCGAGTAGCAGTATTAATATTGGTTCCACTATTTCAATTAACAAGTAAAATCGAGGTTAAATTTTTTTTTTTAAAACGTCATGAAGACCAAAAGAGCTTAACGAAAGTGACGAGCTATGGAGACATAATTTTATTTCGAGAATAAAGTACACCCTGTTGCATAAATAAACGAGTCCGCGTGCGACGCCCAAGTACTATGGTCGGCGGCTGCAGCAATACGAGAAAATCCCTTACATACCACCACCACCGGGTTTATTGAACTCCCGAGCAGAGAAATACCACAGGCGGTCGTCATGGCGACGGCGGCTAACGGTGTGGGGTGAGGTCGAGGAGGAGTTTATGGTTCAGACGGCGACAACTGTGTTATTGATCTCTTCACCATTAGCGCGCATACACTACCCCTTCGTGCAGCAAAAACTCGGCTAGAAACACATTTATAAAAATAAACCCAACGCAAAATAGTTACTCTTTCTTTTCACTCGGATTTCGATAGGGTTGAAAAACTGCAAATACACGCCCAACCTCATTTCTAAGCCAGATTACAGAGGGAGGGGAGGTGTTTCCACCACCAAGCACTTAAAACCGTAGCAGTGTAGTACCACCGTACACAACAAAAAACACAGCCCATGCCGGTCTTGCCTAACTTGCTCGCCTCGATATCCTATCCCAATCTTTTTACTCTTTTCTGTAATTGTTTCATCGAAACAACCACCACCCACACACTGAACGAAAATTATTTTTAAATATCAAATGTCGTATGGTCGAGTAGTTAAGTAGCTACAACTGTAACCACTGTTATTCGGCGATAAGTTAAGCACTCGATTGAACGATAATCGGATCCCAATTATTAGTAATTTACACGGAGCGCTTCGTGCGTCATTATTTTATTATACTACTTTGTATGGCGGAAAATGTATATTAATATTTAATATAAAGGTCAAAGTTTCGTGTGACTCGCACGACCAGTAAAAAAGTCATTCAATGGAATGCGCGCTGCATACCACGCGCCACGCGTATTCATCATCATATAATATTATTATATTATAGTCGCCCGCATAAAAAGTCCCCCTCTGCCGGCCTATTATAGTTCGTACTACACACAAGACCATCTGTATCGTGCTTCCGACGATCGAGATCTATACAAGACACTATAATTAATAATATAAACGTGTGCGCTTCCCAGAAGTAACGAACAAGAATGTTAAATACACATCAACTCGAATCGACATGCCAGAATAAATCGTCGTGGGACCATAGTTATTCGAATGGAAATAAATAATAATTGTAATCAGTAATCACTATTCGATAGCCGACAAATTTTACAACGGTTCGATGATACCATCCTGCGAGAAGTTAAATTCTTTTACTTCTCCGCCATGGCTCGCGGGACACCCGCCGACCAACACTACCAAATATTTTTGTATGACAAAAGCCGAAAAAACTCAGGACGACGACGATCCGAGTTTCTACAATAGCGAGGAATGTCGTTGTTAAAAAGAGCAGCGCTAACAACAAGAAATGCCATGTTTAATTGATCAATGAATAAGGAACGGTACAGCGTTAAATCGAAGGGCGGCAAAAGAGGGACGGTGAGGTGCAGCAGAAGTCCACGATAACGAAGCGGGGATTATTGTCGGCGGGCCTTCTCTTTCTGTCATAAGTCGTCCTCCCAAGCACACAATAAACGACCATAATGTTATATCAAAAATCGTGTACATGATATTACCATTGTAATAATCGACACACAGCGACGAAGAATACCATTAATTTTTGTCGGTAGCGGCTAAAGAGTGTGGCCGTCTTAATAAGGATGTACGCAAAGTGAGCTGGAATTGATATACTTGCCGCGTGTACAGTACAAATCATAAGAGCGAGCATTATGATAATAATTACGTTTAACGAAAAACGATTGTGAAACGCGTAGTTTTAAAAACATCAACTTTCTAGGGCTGATGCGTCGATTTAAACGCACAGACTTGAGACTCCCGCAAGGCCGTAACGTATAAAATAACACAACAGCGACATCATTATAATGTGATCTACAACTCGAACGGATATATTTACCATTACAGTATTACATGTTATCCACAAAATACAATCTGTACACAAAAAAAAAAACCGATACAACGCAAAATAGCGAAAACTCAAACCCGCACACGAGATGACGGAACAAACAAATCGCATTGCTGTTGTTCCGAGTGCGGAAGATGAATGATTTTTATCACAACGAATATTACAGTGCAATATTAGAATATTATGCGTGCCATGATAATAATATATGAAAGTGTGTACATTGTAATTACTATGATACACCGAAGGAACGCGCGAACGCTACGCCACGAGAATATAATAATATTTTAAACAATTTTATCATGATCCAATGCACAACGTCTGAAAGGTCTACTACGGCGTGCGGCGGCGGTAGTGGCGCGGAAATAGAAGTCTCGTACACCGCGAGTCCGTGCCAGTTTCCACCGTCGCCAACAGGTTTCGCGCTATCAGGACGAGCGAGGCGGAGGAATGCGAATATATGCGATAGGTTAGGTTAGGTGATTTCGCAGCCACCTTAGTAAAAATTGAAAAACCTGACGTTCGCAGAGCTGCATGCATAATCGTATTTGTTAATGATATTAAATAACAACAATGACACGGCACACAGCAATAGCCAGTGGTAAGACCAATACGTTTCAATAACGCGCCAAATATCCGCGAAACACCGCACATAATATCCGGTGGTCAAAGACAACACAATTATTATGCACACAATGCACTATTGTGGTGCACCGAGCGCTGCACAGCACACGTCCACATATTATTATGATGATATACGCTAGGAATAATATCGTCATTCACAAGAGAAGGGGGGGGGGGTATTATATCGTCATTATTATGACACGTGCGTCTAGGTTTTACAGCTATGTAACTACACAACAATATATTATGATTGTGTTACTACGGCGGCGGACACAACATTATACCGAATAAAAAACGTCTAAACGCGGAAGAGTGAAAAAAAGACACCGTACGCGTTCGGGATGTTTTCCAGATACCCTGTGGCCTGTATAATATATAACATACATGTTTTTATTACATTTTATATGCGTTCAGAAGATTTGGAATAAAAAAAAAATAGTTTCGATAATATAATATTTTTCTTTTCGTATACAAAGATGTACCACTATTGTCCGTTGAAATTGAAAAGGTGTGGTACATGTGTTTTAGTATTTTTGTATAATGTATATAGTATCGCGTAGTAAGTTGTTGTAGTTGGTTGTTTACAGCGATAAGGAATGCGGCATACAAATTCTATATATAATATTATTAAATAGAATAATAATATGTATATTAAATATTACGCTTATGGGGGATTTTATTTAAACAATAAACACTGGTCTACAAACGGGCTACGTCAAAGCAAAGAAAAAATAAATTATTATCGAACACAAATGGAACATTTCACAGTTAATTATCGCGATGACGACGACGTTTATTGGCCGCAATAGATTTTTTGTAGTAATAAAATTTGATTTCCCGTTCCTTCTACTGGGATTCTCCAAGGAAAATGAGTATTGTAGTAACACGCTGTAGTGATTTCACCGGATTTCTACTTGTTACAACGTTTCCAGCACTTACAGTGAAAGCGTGTAATACATGGTAAATATAAATTTATAAACATTTGTACACCAGACTTATTTTATTCTTTTTAAAATAGGAAACCTCATGATGTCAGTTTTCATAATAAAACATATATATTTTCTGTCGACACCAATGCGGGAAGTTTGAATGAACAAATGTATTACACATTATGAACTTGTTGACGAAAATCCACTACCCAGTATATAATAAAAATAATTATTATTTTATCGTGAATAGTATTGGATTACCAATTGAACAACTCCAATTTGGGCAGGGAAATTATTTATAATACATTTTAATTACTTAGCAGGCCATCCGTATTTATTCCCAGCCATTACAAGTTTTATCACAAACCAATATCGAACAATTATAGCAGGCGGTGGTTTTTATTGGGCGTTAGGAATTTCAACTATCGTAAAAGATAAAACTCGTACAGAAAAGCAGTGAAAAAGTTCTTGGTAATGTCCTTCTCAACATAAATACAAAATAACGCTAATAATAAATCTTTGACAATATTATGGCCGCCTGTGAATGCCTAAGATAAGTTCGGTATACGTATAAAATATAAATATTATATGGTAACGGCGATCATTGACTGAATAGCAGTCACTAGTTGATTTATGATTCACTTACATTCATAATCGTGTAATGAAAGCCGAAAGGTCAAAAACAAATTGAAAAATTTTTTTTTCTTGACAATGAATTTTAAATATGTATTCAAGCTATAAGTTTTATCAACAGGAATAAACAATAACAAGTTAATAGATCTATATTAGATTGTTAATTGTTACACACCATTTTCAATTCAGGATACAAAAAAAGAAAATGATTATTTTCAAGAACAATGTTAAAAATATTAAGAATAAAACACATCACGCACATGTCAAATTGTTTTAACTTGGACAAAAACATGTGCAACCATGTGCACATGTTGAGAGTAGTAGTTCCCATGCATTTTTGTATTAAGATGAACAGTTTAACGATCTACGAGCATGAATGTCTCACGTTGATTAAATAATATTATATTGTCGTAGGTATTATATATTTATTTATGTTATAAAAAACAATATGGGAGCAGGAAGTTTTCTAATAATTAAGAATAGTAAAATAAGTTGGTATAATCGAAAATATTTTTTAACGATCTTAGTTATCTTTAGTGGGCACTGGCCAGTATTAAATACATTTTACATTTTAAATATAAATTAATAAAAAATGTCCAATAGTTTTCATTAGACATTGATACTATAAAAGAAAAACCATTAAAAGCAAATTATAGTCCATTTAAAATAACCAAACTTTATGGGAATGTGTAATTAAAATATATATAGGTACCTAATCTATTTTTAATTGTTTTGAACAAATAACTTAATTGAAACTATACAGATAGAAATAATAAATTCATCAAATTCTGAAATCAATGCTACAACATTTTACAACATATTTTAAATGTATTATATTTTTGATGAAGTTGAATCTTAAAGTCAAGATACCGTCAGTTGAAGAAGTTAAGTAAAATATGTGTAATATTAATGCAATAATAAGTAAAGTTTTCAAAGCATTCAATTTAGATGGTGGTAATTTTTGGTTCGTTCGATACAAACATTTGGTATAAGATAATTATTCATGCAAATATAAGACAATATTAAGTTATGCTTGATATGCATACCCATTAATAATTAATAACTTGATGTATTACTTTATAAAATCAATTTGTTCTATCATACTTTTCAACTAGATTATTAGATTCGTTTAACGTGTCAAATACGACTGTTCCACTTTATCATTATTTTTTATTATCAAAAGGTGATAGTTCAATCTCCTACTAATTAAAAACTTTTTTGCTCTTTATCTAGTTCATGTTTAATTAGTTCTACCAAAAAACTAGATAGTTTGCATAAATATCTAAGTAAACAATAGTGTTTAATTTTAATTTCTGATGAAAATTTGAGTTTCTTTTAGGTAGGTACCTCAATAAAATTGAAACTCATACAAAAATAATTGAAAACAAATGAATTTATCATAAATAAATAAATTTTATAAAAATAAACTATTTATCAAGTTAAAGAACCAATTATCAATAATATTTGATTCTATACACAGGATATGACTGCTCTTGGTACCCAGATAATTAAATATTGTTCAGTAAATAACTGTACAGTTATAATATCATAAGTAAACAAATATATTATTGTAATATTTATCTACCTTATTCTGTATTATAAGTCACCTATATTTGCTTCAATAGAGAAAAATTCCTTAAACATAAGTTATACTTAAATTACTGTGTTAAACATTCATGGTTTCGGCACAATACCTATCAATGAGATTATTTTAAAAGACTTATCATAAAAATATGAATATCAATTATTGAATATGTACCTACTACAATTAAATAGGCAATCAATTGAATATAAAAAATTAAATCTTAACCATTTAGACAACTTTTTTAACAATGGGTAAAATTAACTTCTGTGCGATAGTTTAGAAAAAATGTACAAACAAATTATCGGTTACCAAGTATACGTGCATTCAAATCATTTAAAATGAAATGATATTTAAGTAGAGTTAACAAATGAAATGGCTCGACGATCAGTCGATTGCTAACCGTCATTAATTTCCAGGTGAAAAAGTTACTCCATTGGACTCGCCAAAGACAAGGGCTTAATGCGAACAAGAGATAAATAGTGTCTAACCACTCAGGGTCCTACCCTCTCAGGGGCGTGCGCAAGGGGGTACCAAGGAATGTGAGTAGTACAGTACCTAAGCGGTACAGAATAGAGCTTGTGCATGTTGTTTATAGGTAGGTATAGTGTGGCGGGTGGGTACTTGCCTCGTATTTGAGTCCAGCCAGCCTGAGCCATGTCTCCACCTTGAGACAGTACGGCGACATGGACGGGATGACGGGCGTGCGCGAGAACTGGTACAGGTACACGACGTCCTTATCGAAGTTCTGCTTCTTCACGGAGAACTTTGGCTGAGGTGGTTCGGCCGGGGCGGCGGGCGTCGCTGCCTTGTCGTCCTTCTCCGCCACCGCCGGTTTCTTGTCGTTGTTCTCCGCCTGCTTGTTGTTGGTCTCGGCTACGGTGTCAGCGCCGTCCTTTGCCGGTTCCTTGACGTCCTGCGGGACATTCTTGGTCTCTTCCGTAGTCGCCGTAGTCATTTTTCCGGTTCTCGTGTCGTTTGGTGCGATGGTCGTCGACTGGTTGGTGCGGCGCTACGGTCTGCTACGAGGGGGTTGGCCGGGCGGTGTACACGCGCTGCTCTCTATGCGCAGCGGCAACGACAGTTAAAAACTCTACACAGAAAACAAACGACGAGATTAGAAAATTGTGAATAATTGTTCAATCGTACCGTTCAAAGGCGTTTCTACACACACACACACTCTCACACAGACAGACACACGCATACAGACAAGCAATCTCTCACACACACACACACACACACACACACACACAAGCACACACGAGAGCTAAAAGACGTGCGTATCCAGAGAACCGCGCGCAACAGCGATGTAGTGCATTAATGCGGAAAATACGAAGAAAAGTTATTGAAACGCGCGTCTCTCGTTACTCGGTGTGCTGTCCGCAAACGGACGTCGGGTGGTTAAAATATTATGTAAAAAAAAAAAAAATACGAACGAAGTACAACAGAAATGAAGTAAACACGTACCGGCAGGAAAAGGACGCGACTTCGAATGCACGAATGACAAGCGGCGGCGGCGGCCGGAGCACGGGTCGGTGCAGCCGGGTATCGCGTTGGTCAAGAGTGACGCTAACCCGGCACGCACGCGCATCGCGAACCACTTTTGACTAACGTGCGGCCGCCGCACCGCGCCGCCACGCCCTTTCCATCGACGCCGTTGCCGCCGCCGGCACCACCACCGCTACGAGTCTGCCGCCGCCGCCGCCGCCGTACAGTGTTGTTCTATCGCAGGGATATAATATTATTATTATTATTTCAACGCTTAAAAAAATGTTGCTAGTCTTCCAGCAGCGTTTTACACGATATCACATTAACGGCCTTTTAATGGGTAATATTTTGGTCGATCCGATTTTCGCGTCGAAATCGACCCGGACGGCGGACGGGGTTTTTTTCCACGTCCAGCGGCGGCTGAAATAATATCATAATATTTTTAATTTATAATACGACTGCAACTAATAACTCTATACGTCTATACGTCATACGATCTGGCGGCGGCGACGCATGTGTTTTCTCACGGCTTTCTCGACGCGCCCTCGTCCCTTTCACAGACGATATTTTATTAATAATAAAAACTGTGCGACGGGTAGTCGCCGCCACACCAAACACCAACAAAGAAATTAAATGGAAAAATAAAAAAAAAACCAAAATAGAAACCAACTTTGACACTTGTTGACCTGGGTTGCCGGCCGTCTGTCCGAACGCGCGCCCGGAAAACTTCATATCAGTACATGTATATATAACATCGGTATAAAATGTTCATGTTTGTGTAACGAAGGTTTACCCTCCCCTACCAATAGCTCAGTCCCTTAGTCACTTTTATGTAGGTATATACGTATACATACACGCCAGTGAATGTATTGAGGTGTGGTTTTTTTTTATCCTCGTTTTATATTACACCCGAAAACTTATAAAGGTAATAAAATGTAGACTGCGGATGATATGTTTTCGGGTGCATCGTGTGTGACATGTGTACAATATTATACATAATATTTATATCTCAATTATGCATTAAAATCACTCGTACATTATGTTGTACCGACCGGAATGACGTTGACCGTTATGGTTAAGTTAATCATTGATTTTCAAAGTGCACTCCATCTCGGAACTCCCTATTATCATTCCTCGATGTGGATGAGACATATGAAAATTAGTTGTAAATTAATTAGCAACATTCCGAAGCGTAACAATTCCTGTAAACTATTACTACCTGTCTATTTTATTATCGCATTAATAATAGGACTACATGCGGAGATGGATGCACTTAATGCATCTGATGAAATACTCAGGGACTGTGGACTCCGGAGACCAGCATTCGGGATGCAGTAGTAGTACCCTTATGTAAGGCACTAAAAGGTCCAAGACGTAGAAAGGAGAATTGCTTTGATGATGGCAAATCATCATGGTATACAAGAGCACGAGATGGTGCATGAGGCAAGATGGTAAAGAGTTAATAATGGTACAATAGTAAGAGCGAGAACGCTTATTCGGACAATAAATAAAGCAGAGAAACTGTGACTGAAATACT